CAACAACTGCAATCAAGCGTTTGCGATAACTGGCAATGAGTCTTTCACATCGCTGATGAGGAATTTTGGCCCACTTTTCTTTGCAGAATTGTTGTAATTCAGCCACATTGGAGGGTTTCCGAGCATGAATGGACTGTTTATGGTCATGCCACAGCATCTCAATTGGATTTAAGTCCGGACTTTGACCTGGCCACTCCAAAACCTTCATTTTGTTTTTCTTGAGCCATTCAGAGGTGGACTTGCTGGTGTGTTTTGGCTCATTGTCCTGCTGCATAACCCAAGTGCGCTTGAGCTTGAGGTCACAAACTGACAGCCGGACATTCTCCTTCAGGATTTTCTGATAGAGTGCAGAATTCATGGTTCCATCAATTACGGGAAGTCGCCCATGTCCTGAAGCTGCAAAGCAGCCCCAGACCATCACACTACCACCACCATGTTTGACTGTTGGTATCATGTTCTTTTTATGAAATGCTGTGTTGGTTTTACGCCAGATGTAACGGGACACAGAATATTTTACCCAAATGTCTTGGGGATAATCAAGATATTTTTTGGCAAATGTGAGACAAGCCTTTGTGTTCTTTTTGGTCAGCAATGACTTTTGCCTTGGAACTCTCCCATGGATGCCATTTTTGCCCAGTCTCTTTCTTATTGTTGAATCATGAACACTGGCCTTAATTGAGGCAAGTGAGGCCTGCAGTTCTTTAGATGTTGTTCTGGGTTTCCTGGATGAGTCTTTGTTGCGCTCTTGGAGTAATTTTGGTAGGCCGGCCACTCCTGGGAAGGTTCACCACCACTGTTCCAATTTTTCTCTATTGTTGGATAATGGTTCTGACTAGGGGTGCTCCGATCAGGATTTTTGAGGCCAATCACCGATCGCCGATCACAGAAAGCAGTATCTGCCGAGTTTTGATCATTTTAAACTATTTATAGTGATACTCCAATCAGGATTTTTAGACATTTATTCAGGGTCTGAATTTCATTTTTGAAAATGGGGGGAATTCCCCTCTTAGGTGACTCTTGTGAGAGGGGAAGCAGCACGGACTGTGGTTTCACACAGGAGTCCACTGCTGATCTGTGGCTGTTTACCACAATCACAACATTTATCCATTATTTTGATTTCAAATCCAAACATTGTCACTGAAAATGCTTTTTCAGCATTGGAATTATTTTTTTACACAGTGCAGTAATACCTCAGTGGCAAATCCTTTAAATATAAAAAATGTACTTACAGACTGTGAGTCAGAACAGCCGGCATTGTAGTCTACTCTCAGGATCAGGAAACAGTCCTCCAAAAATCTGAATATTTGGGTTGAAGTGTTCTGGAACAGTGTTGTAAATACAACTTAACCACTGATTTCTAGTCGTGTGCATTTTTGGAAGGCCAACAAAGTAGTTTTGCTTTCACAATGAAACACACAGCGTCTTCACGACATGGCGGCGGCGGCAACAACAATACTACAGCGAGAATAAAAGTTACACCTTCTTTCTTTGCGTGCACATTTGGGCGGCGTTATGCAAATCTTCCCACATAGTGAGGTAGATATGTGGGGGCGTGTTAGAACGAGGCGTTTTAGGTAGGCGTGGCTGACTCTTAACTTTTATAAAGAATATCTCTTTGGATTTGAGACTTTAGTCTTTGCAACTTTACAGATCTTCTTTATGCACCAAGAGCTTGTAACATTCCAAAGAGAAAGGAAAACTTGAAATCGCATCATATGACCCCTTTAAGTTGCTCAAGCAAGTGGCAAAACATTTAAACTACGACCCCTTTAAACTACGACCCCTTACAAACTTACCATTGACAGAAATAGTCAGCTCTACTGCCTTTTCTTTTGCATTGAAATCTTTATTACAAGCAATCCTGCGGTTCATAAAGAACTTTGTTTTCCTACCTCCAGGAGTGGCATCTATTATTGCCTTGTTTATCTAAACGTGCTCTTTCCCTTTAAACCTAGCCAAAAAGCCATATGTGTTGACTGTGAAACACCGTAGACTTTAATAATATGCATTTATGGTGTAAACGCTTTGCACGCTTTATTAATCTGTTAACATGAGCACGGAAAAAATACGCACCACATTCGCACTGCAAACGGAGTAATGTGAACCTGGTATTATGTGTGTGCGCTGAGAGTGTGCATGAGCGCTCCGTCTGCACTCGAGCACTGAATGGTTAAACACTGGCAAGAATTAAAAAGTAATGCCATTTATAAACTTTAGTGACGATGTGACACTGCCTCGATTGTGCAAGTGACAATTCCTGTGTCAACTGTGCAGTGTGCAGCTGGCTTATGGACAGACGCGATGTGTGGTGATTTGAAGACATTTGCGTATTTTGAGAGAAAGCGCGCACGGTGATTCACTCATGTTGTTTGTGAAATTACGTCTCATACAAGGTTTTCAAATTACTCTATAAGTTATTAATTAAGAAATATGAAGGTGAGTACCTCACCTTCAGCATTAGAATTATTTCACCCACGCCGGACAGAGACTGAGATTGTGTAATATTAAAATTAGTTTGATGATCTGAATCTTTTAAGTGTGACAATTACGCACAGCACTGTAGTGTAACGCATCTTTGAGGAATAGCTGCAATATAACAAAGAGTGAAAAATTTAAGGGGGTCTGAATACTTTCCGTACCCACTGTATATATATTGTGTTTTGGGGTAAAATATTTTCTGAATATACTGTATATTACATTATATTTGACATTTGTCCTTGGCAACCGCAACTTGTCTCCTCAGTCCCCAGACGTTTGCACACTGTTATAAAAAAGAAGAGGGGATGCCACAAAATAAAACTTAATTCAACCTTAAAATCAATCCTAAATATCATATTTTTTTAATTTAGTACTGCCCTTCAGAAGCTACAGAAGATACTTACATGTTTCCCAGAAGACAAAATAAGTAAAATTTACCCTGATCTTCAAATTCAAAAAGTTTTCACCCCCTTAATACATGGTATTTCCTTCTGGAGCATCAGTGAGCATTTGAACATTTTGTAATAGTTGCATATGAGTCCCTGAGTAGTCCTCAGTGTGTAAAGATGGAGCTCAAAATCATACAGTCATTGCTGGAAAAGGTTTAAATACACAAAAATGCTGGAAAACCAAAGATTTTGTGGGACCTGAAGGATTTTTTTGGAGAACAGTGGGCAGTTTAACTGTTCGGGACAAACAAGGGACTCATGAACAACTATCACTAAACAAAAAAAACACTGCTGTGGATCATTCAGGTAACAACACTGTATTAAGAATCAAGGGGGTGTAAACTTTTGAACGGGGTCATTTTTTATCAATTCAACTATTATTTTCTCTTGTGGAATACATGTAAACATCTTTTATGTGAAATATCTTATTCAGGTCAGTACTAAAACAATAACATGAATTTTGGATGATCTCTCTTATTTTGTTAAAATAATTAACATTTTGCAGATTCTGCAAGGTGTATGTAAACTTTTGACTTCAACTGTAGATAGATAGATAGATAGATAGATAGATAGATAGATAGAGATAGACTGATAATTTCACAGACTGATCTGTATGTTTTGCAAGAGAGAATGTAATACAATTTCACCTCAGGGAAACAAGAGCAACAATTTACGAAAGAGGGAAAATTGGCAGCTGTAGAGACAGAGGTGTTTTTTGTCAGCAAATTGGGGTAAACAGTTTAGGACGTGCACTGGAGTTCACAATGTTCTCTTATGTAAGACTTAATAAAAAGCACTGGGGAGAGAAAAGACTTTCTCAGCACCGGTTTTGTATTATGTCTAATCTGCAGCTCTGTCCTGCATCTGCACACATACAGCACTCTAATGTCCAACAGACTCTCAACTCTGTCATTATCCTGTCCATGGTTACATGTTTATATGTTTATGGTTGTGGCATCATAACCACGACAGTTTATTTTGCATAAATGTATGCATTTATGCATGCATGCAAACACTCAGCCTGTCCTTATGGGAAGCAGGTATTTATCCAAGCTTGTCCTACAGGTTCAGCCCAACCTTAAAACTAAATGACGCATATGCCATCTCAGCGGCTACTGTCAGAAAGATATGTGTCTTCTGTTGTGGCCCTTTACACCTGACTGAAGCTTATAAAGCTGACTCCAGCATCTCTGGACCCCTGACGACTAGACATGAGGATACACACCTCAGACAGAAATGAACAATCATGCTCTGACCAAGACAAAGAACAATGCAGACAGTGCTGCCCTATAGGTACACTGCCATCTAGAGGCTGCAAAGCAAACGGCATGACTTTACTGAAGCGGGGCTGAGCTGTACTCGTCCTGAACCATGTGATACAGACACAAATGACACCTCAAATCAAGCAAAAAAATTTTTTTTTAAATGTGATTTAAATTTTCACATTAAATCATAAAATTTTAACTTGGATTGAAAAAAGGGTGAACAAAAGTATCATAGACTTACATTAAAGGAGGGAGCCAAGTCATATATGGAGACTTAGGGTTGGGCTCTTTTCACTGGCAATCACTTAACCCTTAATTTTTTACCCATTTAATATTTTATTTGGGTTATTATATTGAAAATAAACCCCACAAAAACTATTCAACTGTACACATTATTCAAGAGCAGTCCATTGTAAAATGGGTCACAAACCCTGGAAACTGTTTGATTAGCTGCAGTGGTCGTTTTCCTTTAGTGCTTATGTACTTCCTGTTAAAACAGGAAGTTTGGGTGGGCCTCGTTCCTTTTTTATTTTATTGACTTCAGTTACTTCAGAGCCATAAAACATGATTAGCAACTTACTAGTCAAGTCAGGTGACACTGGAGGAGGAATATTCTCATTTTAGAAAGCTGATTGGATAAAAATCTGTGTAGTGCAAGATGAGTCATCAATATTTTCATTTGTTTTCCCAAAAGAGAATGCGTATATCTTATCAATTTTAATTTTGCAACTTTTAGGAGCAAACTGATCTTTTTCAGACCACTTTTGACTGTAAACATTAGGGACTGTGTGTGTACATGTATTTGTACCTGGTACTTCTTTGTCTTCATACTGCCTCACCAGGATTGGTGTAGGTCTGTGGACCGCCAAAAAATAAATACAATTAAAAAAATTTTTTTTAAGTTTTACTGAAAATCCAGGTAGTTTGTAGGCTGCATAAGCCTTAAGTACTTAGCGTGCAAATTTGAGATAGATAGAACAACAGACAGAAAGATAGATGCAAAAACAATGCATTAAGAGCCTTTTGAACATTTGTAAATTTTTCTTATTTTGCCTAAATATCATATTTTTTTAATTTAGTACTGCCCTTCAGAAGCTACAGAAGATACTTACATGTTTCCCAGAAGACAAAATAAGTAAAATTTACCCTGATCTTCAAATTCAAAAAGTTTTCACCCCCTTAATACATGGTATTTCCTTCTGGAGCATCAGTGAGCATTTGAACATTTTGTAATAGTTGCATATGAGTCCCTGAGTAGTCCTCAGTGTGTAAAGATGGAGCTCAAAATCATACAGTCATTGCTGGAAAAGGTTTAAATACACAAAAATGCTGGAAAACCAAAGATTTTGTGGGACCTGAAGGATTTTTTTGGAGAACAGTGGGCAGTTTAACTGTTCGGGACAAACAAGGGACTCATGAACAACTATCACTAAACAAAAAAAACACTGCTGTGGATCATTCAGGTAACAACACTGTATTAAGAATCAAGGGGGTGTAAACTTTTGAACGGGGTCATTTTTTATCAATTCAACTATTATTTTCTCTTGTGGAATACATGTAAACATCTTTTATGTGAAATATCTTATTCAGGTCAGTACTAAAACAATAACATGAATTTTGGATGATCTCTCTTATTTTGTTAAAATAATTAACATTTTGCAGATTCTGCAAGGTGTATGTAAACTTTTGACTTCAACTGTAGATAGATAGATAGATAGATAGATAGATAGATAGAGATAGACTGATAATTTCACAGACTGATCTGTATGTTTTGCAAGAGAGAATGTAATAAAATTTCACCTCAGGGAAACAAGAGCAACAATTTACGAAAGAGGGAAAATTGGCAGCTGTAGAGACAGAGGTGTTTTTTGTCAGCAAATTGGGGTAAACAGTTTAGGACGTGCACTGGAGTTCACAATGTTCTCTTATGTAAGACTTAATAAAAAGCACTGGGGAGAGAAAAGACTTTCTCAGCACCGGTTTTGTATTATGTCTAATCTGCAGCTCTGTCCTGCATCTGCACACATACAGCACTCTAATGTCCAACAGACTCTCAACTCTGTCATTATCCTGTCCATGGTTACATGTTTATATGTTTATGGTTGTGGCATCATAACCACGACAGTTTATTTTGCATAAATGTATGCATTTATGCATGCATGCAAACACTCAGCCTGTCCTTATGGGAAGCAGGTATTTATCCAAGCTTGTCCTACAGGTTCAGCCCAACCTTAAAACTAAATGACGCATATGCCATCTCAGCGGCTACTGTCAGAAAGATATGTGTCTTCTGTTGTGGCCCTTTACACCTGACTGAAGCTTATAAAGCTGACTCCAGCATCTCTGGACCCCTGACGACTAGACATGAGGATACACACCTCAGACAGAAATGAACAATCATGCTCTGACCAAGACAAAGAACAATGCAGACAGTGCTGCCCTATAGGTACACTGCCATCTAGAGGCTGCAAAGCAAACGGCATGACTTTACTGAAGCGGGGCTGAGCTGTACTCGTCCTGAACCATGTGATACAGACACAAATGACACCTCAAATCAAGCAAAAAAATTTTTTTTTAAATGTGATTTAAATTTTCACATTAAATCATAAAATTTTAACTTGGATTGAAAAAAGGGTGAACAAAAGTATCATAGACTTACATTAAAGGAGGGAGCCAAGTCATATATGGAGACTTAGGGTTGGGCTCTTTTCACTGGCAATCACTTAACCCTTAATTTTTTACCCATTTAATATTTTATTTGGGTTATTATATTGAAAATAAACCCCACAAAAACTATTCAACTGTACACATTATTCAAGAGCAGTCCATTGTAAAATGGGTCACAAACCCTGGAAACTGTTTGATTAGCTGCAGTGGTCGTTTTCCTTTAGTGCTTATGTACTTCCTGTTAAAACAGGAAGTTTGGGTGGGCCTCGTTCCTTTTTTATTTTATTGACTTCAGTTACTTCAGAGCCATAAAACATGATTAGCAACTTACTAGTCAAGTCAGGTGACACTGGAGGAGGAATATTCTCATTTTAGAAAGCTGATTGGATAAAAATCTGTGTAGTGCAAGATGAGTCATCAATATTTTCATTTGTTTTCCCAAAAGAGAATGCGTATATCTTATCAATTTTAATTTTGCAACTTTTAGGAGCAAACTGATCTTTTTCAGACCACTTTTGACTGTAAACATTAGGGACTGTGTGTGTACATGTATTTGTACCTGGTACTTCTTTGTCTTCATACTGCCTCACCAGGATTGGTGTAGGTCTGTGGACCGCCTGTGCCGTCTGAGAGCTCTAAACAAAAAAATGAGAGGAGATGAGACAAGAACAATAGCGGAGGAGAGGGGCGTCGAGTGGACACTGTATGCAGAGGGATTATACAGGAACAACATTGTTTTAATCTCCCTCATTCAGGGGGGTAAATCCTCACATATACAGACAGAGAATCCTGGGTTAATGAGGGTCTCAGGAGTTTCCACACACCACTAAAGAGACCGTTTTGTTTTTGTGATTAAGAGAAAAGTAGGGACAGAGGTCACGCCTGAGCAGATATCATTAAATACTGCAGAGATAACCAGCACTCACATACCACTTTATAATAACTTTAATACGTTTTTTAAAGGGATAGTTCACCGCCAAATTAAATTTACTCACACTCAAGTTGTTACAAACCTATATGAGTTTCTTTCTTTTGCTGTACACAAAAGAAGATATTTCGAAAAATGTTGGTAACCAAACAGTTGCTGGTCCCTGCTGACTGATGAATTATTAAATGATACAATATTTTCTAGAGTTGGGGTACTCTGACTCGAGTACAATTTTTTAAAGGACTCGGACTTAACTCGGGACTCTGAAAATAGTGAAAGTGACGTGACATGTGGATTAGTGTTGCACGCACACAGCACACACCCGGAGCAGTGGGGAGCCATTTTTTTGCTGCGGCGCCCGGGGAGCAGTTGGGGGTTCGGTGCCTTGCTCAAGGGCACCTCACTCATGGTATTAAAGGTGGGAGAGAGCGCTGTGCATTCACTCCCCCCACCTACAATCCCTGCCGGTACGAGACTCGAACCCACATTTGGGTTACGAGTCTGACTCTCTAACCATTAGGCCATTACTTCCCTTAAATATGTCTGAGTCCAACCGAGTCCAGGGACAGTTGATGGAAATGTCACTGACTCAATGCATTATCACAAAAGTGATATTCAGTATTTGCATGTGTTTTTAAGTCTTGTCCAGTACTTGAAAGCTGACGGGTTTCTGTGCTCACACACCGAAAGTGCGCTCACAGAACGCGCCTCTCAGTCAGTGTGCGAATGCCGAGTTCTCTTTCGCTTAAGTTCTCTTAAGTTCTGTTATTGCTACACACTTACACGAAAAGTTGTCAAAATGCCTGTCTTGGAGACTATTCATGTAAATGCAGTTGGTTTTGTCTTAAGAGAACTTGAAAAGTTGGAAGAAATACGGACGTGTCAAAATATTTGATCTATGCGTCAGATTTTAAAGCAACAGCGTAAACCTGCAGCCGCAGACTGCGTCATAAATGTTAATCAAACAAAAGAAAAGGAGAAAATCACTCACTGCTCTTGACTGAATCACTTATTAAATCATCTATATTTAATGTATACAGTGAAGATTATTTTTTACATTTATTACTTCATGAAATGTCTGTAGTAGGCTATTTCTGCAGAAGCCTTTACTACTGAAAAACTTTTTTTTTAAAAACGAAAAAACTATTTAATTTGTATTTTTGAGTAATATATTTATTTTTCATTTAGCTTGTAAGTAATACTTGGAGTGTTTACTTGCCTTCAGTAAGCTTGAGAATGTTTTATTACATTAGTTTATTACTAATGGTAATAACTTTACTGGCAGTTTCTAGCTTCAAAGAAAAATCATTTTTCTAACATCTTTGGGGCAATAGTTTTTATGGGTCTAAAATCACCTTGGGTGTGCATTATTTTCTAATAATTCAACGGCCCGTCATCAATTATTCCTTACATAATGTAATTTATTGTAATTAATGTAACTATAAATGCATTCAAAAATAAAACAGGTGTGAGTTGGCTGCGACTTTTATACAAAAGTCTTCTATACACAGTGTGTGCCATTGTACAGACTAGGTTTATCCCTCACAGCCTCATTTTCATCCAAGAAAAAATTCAAAATGCTCTGTCTAAGGGGTCTGTGTACTTTGGCGTCCATTCATTTTTCGTTTTTTTTTTTTTTACCCAGAAATTAAAATGCAGTTTCTTTTTTAATGGTTCAAACACTGATGAATAGAATAAGCAGACACAAACAAATTTTGATTATTCAAAATTCATATTTCATTAAAAATCTTAAAAATTATATAAAGCTTGTTTTTTATTGAGATAAAAGGTGCATTTTCTGCTCTTAAGGTCCCATTCACCAAGATACCTACTCCTTTACCCCAACCCTTTAATTTATACATTTACTTTAACGATTAATAAAGTCAAGTCCTGCCCTTTAATTTTTCACATTTTAAAACCTGTTTCACTCTGAAATATGTCACAATACATAAATCAATTCAGCCATAACTTCTGTTACATGACTTTAAGTTTGCTAAGCAAAACAGGACACTAATTATTAATCAAAAATCAAAATGGCAAGATGCAATAGAGGTTTGCTTTTGTTACATTTAAATGGATATTGTGTTTTTCTAGTTGTAAAGGTTAAAACAATGTTAAGATACTACTAAATAATAGAGTTTCGTTGGACTTGGACTCGGCTGTTTGGGACTCGGTCTTGAGTCCGACTCGGTCCATTTTGGACTCGGACTTGTCTCGGACTCGATTGGTTAAAGACACGGACTCGACTTAGGTGGACTCGAACCCAACACTAATATTTTCATTTTGGGGTGAACTACCCCTTTAAGCAATCACAGAAAAGCGCTATTGGGTCTCAGTCTGTCTGGAAGTTAAAAGTCCCTGTACTGTTAGATTAATATAGACATTCTGGAATGTTTCTCAGCAAATCAGATTTGAGGGGCGGAACCAGTGACTGTATAGAAGCAGTCATCTCGTACATATATTAACAGAATAAAATCTAGAACATACAAACTGGACTCGGACTTGTCTCGGACTCGATTGGTTAAAGACACGGACTCGACTTAGGTGGACTCGAACCCAACACTAATATTTTCATTTTGGGGTGAACTACCCCTTTAAGCAATCACAGAAAAGCGCTATTGGGTCTCAGTCTGTCTGGAAGTTAAAAGTCCCTGTACTGTTAGATTAATATAGACATTCTGGAATGTTTCTCAGCAAATCAGATTTGAGGGGCGGAACCAGTGACTGTATAAAAGCAGTCATCTCGTACATATATTAACAGAATAAAATCTAGAACATACAAACTTTTTTTTTAAATTACTGGTTCTATTATTTTCAGAGTTTATTCTTAATTTTAAATGTTATTGAAACTATTTTTGACAAATAGTTCTGTAGAATTCTGTCACTGTCAATTCATCAGTATACCATGTATATAAAAGTGTATTTCTCCTACTGTATCTGAGGTCAGTAAGATTTTTTTCTTTTTGAAAGAAATGAATACTTTTACGCAGCAAGGACCAAAATTGATCAAAAGTTACACTAAAGAGTTTTACATTCTCACAAAAGGCTTCCATCTCAAATAAATGCTGTTCTTTAGAACTTTCTATTAATCAAAAATGCTGAAAAAATGTAGTACAAAATAAATAATTTAAATTATATTCAACTATAAAACAGTTATTTTGCATTGCAATAATATTTCACAATATTACTGCTTTTACTGTATTTTTGATCAAATAAATGCAGCCTTGGTGAGCATAAGAGACTTTTTATTTTATTTATTTATTTATTTTTTCACCAACCCCAAACTTTTGAATGGTGGTGTAATATGAATATATGAAGTTTCACCACATTTTTGATCATTAGACAATCAACAACACTTTATAACAAATGTCTGTGGTGTCAATAGTAACCTTTCAATGAAAAGCAATAACTGTCTCAATTCATGAAATTACTTTTCTGCCGATGTTACCAAGGCCACTCGGATAAAGAAGAATAAAATAATTTTGTGCTGTCAAGCACTTAATCATGATTAATCGCATCCAAAATAAAAGTTTTTGTTTACATAATATATGTGTGTGTACTGTGTATATTTATTATGTATATATAAATACACACACATGCATGTATATATTTAAGAAAAACAATATATTTATATATTAAATATATAATATATATTATATGAATATAAATATAAACATGTAAATACATGTAAATATTTTCTAAATATATACTGATGTGTGTGTGTCTTTATATATACATAATAAATATACACAGTACACACACACATATTGTGTAAACAAAAACTTTTATTTTGGAATGCGAAAATAATCGTTTGACAGCACTAAAAATAATAAATATAAATAATATAAATATAATAAATCATCTATCAATAATCATAGCCTTTCCAATTTTCACAATCCAATCAAATCCTAACGGTCACATTCAAGCTGTGCCCTGTCATGAAAGTTATATTCAAACATAATGTTTGTTAGCAGTAATGTGACAACAAAAAGTGCCACCATCTTCTTTGGTGTGCTTCCTGTTTATAATATAAGCAGAAATGTATCACTCCTGCTTCTTAAATAAATAATTCAGGCTCTGTTTAGGTCAGATAAGAGTGTAGCACTTGCCTGATTTTGTGTGTCCTGCAGCTGAGAGGAGACAGTCATCACATGATGATAAACCTCATCTTCCTTCTGTTCCTCAGATGACCTGAGGTTCACTGACAGCCCAGTGTCTTCAACCACAGCACCTGTTTGTCATGGATACAACACATGAATATTTCAGACTGCATGCAAAGTGCAGTATGACTTGCAAATACTCAATGTGCTCAACGCCCAAGAACAACAAACTCAATAAATATACCATACTGCTCATAACTCTTATCAATAAACTATGCATATATACAGCAACAGAGTCTTGTGAAGTATATTTGCAGTTTGATAGCCTGTAACATGTTTACACATTTAACAACGGTCTGGGCAAGTTGAGCGTGACGTTTCGAGCAGCTTTGTCTCTGTTATGGGGACTCTATTGCAGTGGAGAGGGAAGCAAAATAGCATTAAATTCTCGCTCCGTCAAGGATGAACTCTTGTCCGTGCTGCTGGGGGGGGGGGGGGGGGTTTTTTTTTGCTTGGTGAGGCGGCATCTTGCTTTATACAGCAACAGAGTCTTGTGAAGTATATTTGCAGTTTGATAGCCTGTAACATGTTTATGATGCTTCGAGCAGCTTTGATTTGTCTCTGTTATGGGGACTGTATTGCAGTTGAGAGGGAAGCAAAATAGCATTAAATTCTCGCTCGGTCAAGGATGAACTCTTGTCTGTGCTGCTGGGGTGTGTGTTTTTTCTTTGGCAGCACTAGTCTCTAAGCAACACTGAGGCTCTTTTTACTGTGAGCAGAGCGATCTTGGCTTTGAGTAAATATTGGTTTAGGCCAACACAGGAAGAGGTTTGGATTCTACACAGACGTTCTTTTGCCCGGGACTCATAGCTTACATATACTGTCCACACACTTTTGGACAGCAGGCAGTCTAAGTTCACTACATGCAAACATTTAAAACGCAGACTGGTGTTTTCGAAAACATCTCTGCTTAATAACTTTTATTGACTTACATGTTTCTTTATAGTGTGAGGTTTGGGGAAGTCCAAACGGTGACGTTTCACTTTGAAACATGATACGAAACTAACATTGACTCCAAATAAGCCCAACACAGGTTTTATTCAATAACTAAAATTCAGCGTTTCAAGTCTGAACATGATATGAAACTAATATTTACTCCAAAAAAGCCTAACACAGACTTTATTCTTTACTCAAATTAATTCCCCGCCACAATTCAGAACTTGACCAATTTTCAGGTAAACTCAACCTTTGACAAACTTACAGCATTTTAAACTAAACAGTTACATAGCCCAAAACAAACATGAAACAATTTCAGCCTTTAGTAACCATAAACGTACCATAAATATAATGTAATAATTCAGATATTAAAAATTATACATATTTTATGAATTATAAATATTAAATACAACAATAAATATTTAATATTAATATTAATTTATAACAAATAATACATTGTATGTATCATTTGTTATTTATTGCTAATATTTATAATGATGATGATGACAGTAATAATAATAATAATTATTATTATATAACATTGATATAGCAGACAATTATTTAAAGAGGACAGAAATTTGAGAAAATTATTTGATATTCCCTAATAATAATAATAATAATAATAATAATAAATTATTATTATTTTATTATTATTACAGGACTGATTTGTATTAGTATTTTGTATTATTTTATTTCAGATTTTTAATGCAATACTAAATAAATAAATAACCATTAAATTCATTCAATAATAAACTAATAATAATAAATTATTATTATTAATGCAGAACTGATTTGTAGTCATTTTATTTCTTCTTTTTAATGCAATACTAAATAAATAACTAATAAATAACCATTAAATTCCATCAATAATAAATTAATACTAATACTACTACTACTACTACTACTAATAATAATAAATGATTATTATTTTATTATTATTATTAATGCAGGACTGATTTGTATTATTTTTTTGTATTATTTTATTTTCTGCTTTTTTAAATTCCATCAATAATAAATTATTACTACTACTAATAATAATAATAATGCAGGCAGTTTATTATTTATAGATTTAATCTTTATTTTTAGTTACTTATTTAGTATTGCATTAAAAAGCACAAATAAAATGACAAAAAAAAACTACAAATCAGTTCTGCATCTTAGTTTCCAGCATTAAATAAAAATCATTATTAGTCCATTTCTACATTAATCCACAACTTCAGCAGAAGAACGCACACTGAGCAGGGAATTATTGAAAAAACATTAGCGGGGAGAGTGCAGTGTCTTTGCGGTTGTGTTTGGACGCCGTACACAGGCTGTGTAAGAGGATGCTCAGAGTGGGAGTATGATTCATTTCCGCCTGCTTCCCTGAGCCTGAATTCTGATGAAGTATCCAGACCGCCTGGCTTCCCTGTGTCAGCCTCAGCTCGCTCTTTCACACAGAATCTGAAGCAAAAACAGCTTAATTCCCTGTGTCCATATAACACAGGCAGTGTGAGATATGCCCCATTAGAGACACCCCCACAGATGGCCAGTAACACCGCCAAAAGTATACAGGAAGGGGACGTGGCCACCCAAATGGCCGCAGGAGTTGATGGGCAAAACGAGAGATTAATGGCGACAAGAAAAACAACGGAAAAAGTGAAATGACATTTATATGTTTACAGTTCATGCGTCACACATACCTTTAACATGTCACACTGGCTTAACTGTTATTGCTTAAGGCAAGTGAGTCACATAAAAAAGTCAATAAATTCTGAGTCAAAGTTTATTTATTTATTTACTATGGTAAAAGTGCAGGCTGCGTGTGTGCAGAACTGTAGTGTCGATAGTCTGAGGGATGTTTTATACCCGTGTGGTCGGCGAGCACTTGTCCAGGAGATGTGAGTGTGGCGTGGGGTGAGATCTCTGTGGATCTGTGCTGTGTGAGTCTCTGCGGATCCACGAGTGAGTGTCCGGTCAGCACAATCTCCGCTGCGGTCGTCAGAAGTGGTCTCTGACCCTCACTGACCTCTCCACTGCTCTCCTCCTCCCACCATTTCTGAGAAAGAGGGAGGAATTAAGATCACATGTCCTTTTTTGAACATCCTCTAGCACCATCTACTGGATAAGAGCAGAACTAGCAATACATCAATAAGACATAAGCTAGTGTTAGCAGAAATGTTCAGAGAACAATTATATACAAATTTAATAATAAACAACAACAATAAACAATAATAATAAAAAAAAACTGACACATATTTTATAAAATATTCAGCAATATTTTATGTTTTTTCCTTCATGTTTATAGATCTAACAGTAAGTTGTGGGCAGAAAAAAGATGTCAAATACAGTATATATATATAAACATAAATGTTAATATAAGAATTATTATATAAAAAATTTTTTCAGAATATAAGAATTATTATATAAAAAATTTTTTCAGTATTAAAATAATATACAGAAAAATATACAGCTGCCTCTCTCTCCCTTTACATCTACATGCACACACACACACACACACACAATGGAGTAATTTACTAACTTTCTGCATATCAACTTCACAAACAAATTAATTTAACCAAATCTTTCAAAAGAACTAGTTAAAAAAAAAAAAAGATTTGTTCCTGATTTGGTCATCATTAGTGAATGTGAAAGCTTCAGTCAAGTCACATGATACCTCTGGCTGCTGTGATTGGCTGACAGGGCCGCGTTCCATTCTGGCCAACAGAGACAGGATGGGATCATGATGAGCAGGAATGCGTGGAGCTCCGATCACCTGACCTTCACTGGGCGGATCATAGTCCTGACAAAAAGACCAAAGAGTTTGTCAGTGCATTTGATTTGATGTATATACAACTGGAAAATATGTGTGGTGTTATTTTATTAAACAATGTGTTGTTAAACAATTATAATGAATTATATTACTGTATGAGTCCCCCCCCTATACTTCCATTATCCAAAATGAAATAGAAATCCAGAATTATAATGAATTCTGTTACTGTATGAGTTTTTTTTCTACACTTCCACTGTCCAAAATTAAATAGAAATACTGATTTTGTGTTTTTCACAATGGTAATCATGACAGTTTATAGTTACAGTCTCCCCAGTTCTCATTTGGGACTGAACCTCTAACCTTTGGCTAAGAGCTCAAACCCCAAGCTGAAATTGTCAGTTCATGTTTAACCATGACAGTCTTATTATTTCATTCCATTTGGTTTAGTAGATGGCAAGGAAACACTCAAGTTTTTGGGTCTGTTGCTAAGACTCTTTGCGTTCAAACATTCACCATATCTTGGACTCCGTGCAGGGAACCATTCATGCTGGTCATCAAATTAGGCAGAAGGACTCCTTCCTCATCCAGAACTTGGGAAGAAAAAAAAAGTGTATTTTCAAAAACAAAATGCATAGAAGAAAGCTTATAACTCAACAACAAACTTTGGCATCAAAGGCATACTACAGATTATTGAAGGCAAAATTGAACAAATATATATGATTAAAAGTTTTAAAAATATTTTTAATGTTTTTGAAAGAAGTCCCTTATACTCACCAAAGCTGCAATTATTTGATTAAAATACAGTAAAAATAGTAATATTGTGGAATATTACTTAAAATAACTGCTTTCTATTTGAATATATTTTGAAATGTAATTTATTCCTGTGATGGCTGATTTCATCACAGTGTCACATGATCCTTCAAGAAATCATTTTAATATACTGACTTTGTGCTCAAGAAACATTTCTTATTATTATCAATGTTGGAAACAGGTTTTGCTTCTTAATATTTCTGTGGAAACTGTGATACACTACCATTCAAAACTAAGAAAGTTATTTTTAGAAGTGCCCCTATTACGGGTAATGAAAGGTTCATATTTTGGTTTTTGGAGTCCCCAACAACAGGCTGACATGCATGCAAGGTCAAACTAGGGATGTAACGATTCACTCAACTCACGATTCGATTCGATTCACGATTTTGATTTCACGATTCGATTCGATTTACGATTATTATAATTTTTTTTAACAAAATGAGATTTAAGACAAATTATAAATTAAATGTGTCCTTTTATTATTGCTTGGACAAAATGCTGCACATTTCTTTGTGAAATTGAAATGTAATACTATAATAATATACTAATATAGCACTTGTATATTATTGCTCTTTTGTTGGTTTTGATTGCTTCTATTGTCCTCATTTGTAAATCGCTTTGGATAAAAGCGTTTGTTAAATTACAAAATTTAAATATAATGTAAATGCAAATAACAAAACTAAATTGAAATAAAAAAAGCCCCAAATCAAATAAATAAGTAACACAAATAAAATAAATCTCTTCATATAAACAA